CCCCCCCCCCCCCCAGTGTCCGCCGCTGGTAGAAATTAAATGTGAATCACCAATATTGTTAACTTACCCTGAAGTTTCTCATATTAATATTTCACAGAACGTTCGTGGCCTTGGATGTTATAATCGGCGTTTCACAAGTACGATTCTGACAATTTATGTCTTAGCGATTTCGCAAAAACTTTAAACTACGCTAATACTACCAGCATCAAAATTTATATGTTGACTATGCATTATATTTTTGTCTTTTTTTTAATGGTTCTCAGCTAAAAGATTTGGTACAAGTTGTTGACAAAGCGTTTCAGGAGTTTGGGCTTCCAAAATATTACGATGTAAGAATGATGAATGACTGTTTAGTTTATAGTTCCAAAGCTGAGAAAATGTTACCAAACATGTTGAAATTGTTACACTGTTTTTTTTTTTCGTTTTAGAAACCATCATTTCATGCCAGTTGTGCATGGAGTTTGGGAGATGTTTCAGAAAATATTTCACCTTCTACTTTGGCAAAGATACAGGTAGAGAATTCGATAATAATACCAATTAAGTTACAAGTAAAACTGAAAAAATGCGTCAAGTATTTTGGTTAACATTGCGTTGCCGCGCGGTTAACCATTTTTAAAGGCATAAATCTATGGACCTGTCTAACACCAGCCGTCAAACCCCGTCCACCTGTCTAACTACGCTGTATTTGAGCGGGGTTTTTTTTTTTAGAAATTCTCTTTTAGGCATTGGAAGTGACAGATTTATATTATTATTTGAATGCTGTTTGCATATCGCTTCTCGAAATGAACATAGACCAAAGTAAAGTCGACTCAGAGTGCATAGTATATCTTCGAATGTAGTACGTTTTATTTTTTCTCTCTAGAACTCTTTGGACTCATATGTGGAGGACAATTCTTCACTGGTGTTAACTGCCGAAGAAACCCGATGTCAAACTGGAAATAAAGTGTTCCACTTCCATTTAATGTGAAATAATTCAAGAATGAATGAAGCCATCGTCGATACAATAACTGAGACGAAAGTCTGACTGCATATGCATGGATTGTTCATTAACTTCATTATGCGTTGAACTCAAAAGGACTACTGCTAACTAGAAGACAGTTCTTCAATAAAAATGTGATATTATTCTCAAACCTGTCATAAGAGAGAAGCTGAGCCTTGGTTCTTCATCTGAAATAACAAAAATATAGTGATAACTGTTATTTTATTTACTATTTAAAACACGAGTATAGGAGTGCGCCGAGCGTTTTATGTCTGATAAAACACGACAACGAGTGTTTTGAATAGCTTAAAATACAACTACAAAAGAATACTAATTAGGATGAACCATTATATAATGCCACATGCTTTATCAGATATAAAGTCACTCCTCGTGACATATTATGGCTGACATGATTTGCCACAAGGTTTATGCATTATTGCTGAGTATTTTAAAACATTTATATGATGATGATTTCTGAATATCATAATTTTTGTGCTGATTTTCAAAGACGCAAAGTGCTCATAATCAGGGACGCCGGAACGATAATAAGGCAAAGGGGGGCGGACGCACACCAAGGGCACCTCTATAGAGCGAAAGTTCAAAATCTACCGGAAATTTTTTTTCCATTGGCCCCCCTCCCCCCCCCGTCGCCAAAAAAATTTCGGTCAGTGTACCATTTTAGGGGTCAAAAATTTTTTCCGAACATACCAAAAGTCAAATATAAACTATAAATTGCCTGAATCTCATGATTTTCCTACAAAAAGTATCGTTGGAAATGCGATTTATCACGTAGTATTTTACAACTAAAAGGGCACTTCTGCCCCCCCTAGCAAAAGGCAAGGGGGGCAGCCGCCCCCCTGCCCCCCCCCAGTTCCGGCGTCCCTGCTCATAATTTAATTGTTTTTCTTGTAGTCTGAAACGAATTCCATGCTGTGTTTTTTTGTGCTAGAAGGAGAACTTTTCAAGGCTAAGGTAGCATATATATTTAGCTCATGATAGCGATAAAATTCTTTCATACCTTTCAAATATGTATAAGTACTATTTAAAACACAAACAGGAGTGCTTTATCAGATATAAAAAAGGGCGACAGCCGAGTGTTTTATATCTGATAAAATATAATGGCTTAAAAAGCGATCCATCTTACGACAGCCGAGTGTTTACGACAGCCGAGTGTTTTATATCTGATAAAATTTAATGGCTTAAATCCATCTTACGACAGAGTTATTGGCAAAGCAATTTTAAAAATGAACGTCTGAGCCGAGAAAGTCAAAGCTAAAGTTTATGTAAATGTACATGATTTTTTATCACATACAGTATAAAACCACCGATACTTCGTCTTGTTTTTGTCTTTTCCCCGTGAAGTATTAATTAGTTTTTTTTACTACGCATTTCACTGATATGTGCATTCCGCATTTTTTCTCGCTTCCGAACGGCGTTCGACGCAGGCCTGGTTACAAAATTTGGCGCCTTTTCAAGTTTGAATTTTCGGACGTTAATATAAATAATCAATGTCTTGTCTTGAATGACAGAAGTATCGACGAAAACTTGAAAAGGCGCCAAATTATGTAACCAGGCCTGCGTCGAACGTCGACCGTCGAACGCCGTTCGGAAGCGAAAAAAAAATGCGGAATGCACATATCAGTGAAATGCGTAGTAAGTAAAATAAGTTTAAATAACATGATTTTTTATCACAAATAAAACCACTGACACGGCGAGTTTTTAAAGTAATACATTGAACGTGACATTATAACTTCTCAAATTCTCACCTGGGCCGATTGCGACTCTTTTATAAGGCACGCCATCCAAATATTGAATTTCCTTCTCGCTTTTTGCTCTTTGCCTCCTCTTTTCCTTTTTGTCACATTCTTTACCAGTTACGACGTCGAATCTCGTATCCTTCGCCAAAAATCTAAACATATCAAAACAATCAAAAAACGAAAAATAGCCGAAAGGGGGATCATTTGCACAATGGCGAGGTAAATTTGTGTGTGTGTGTGTGTGTGTGTGTCAACACGATGATTCAAAAACTATCAAACGTATTAATGCTAAAGTCAGTAGGGCCAATATTAATAAACCAAGGACAAATGGATTAAATTTTGGTTCAATTTGGATGAAAACTGAATGAAAAGGACTGAAATTGGCAAATGCTTGATTTGCTCTGCCTGACAGAGAAAACTGAATTAGTGCCTCTAATAGGCAATTCCAGCTTTTAGTTTATGCGTGCAGGGGACGATGGGAAGTAAGGTATCACATTGCTGATTATGCTGAAAAAATAAAAATTGTGGCCGTGTAAACACGGAGTGATAGCTTACACTTGTAAATATTGAAATATTTCGGTTGCTTCGGTAGTTTTTATTGAAATTTTTCAGCATAATCAGCAATATGATACCTTACTTCCAATCATCCCCTGCAGGCATAAACTAAAAGCAGCTGGAATTGCCTATTGAATAGTTTGAAATTTTGAATGTTACAAAACTGTGCCTATGCTATAAAATAAAGTTTACCGTAAACGGCATATTTTCTAGCCACTGCTACTGCTGCCTTACCGATAAGAGCCTTACCGATAAGAGGCAGCATGCGCACACTAACCCCATGTGCGTATAGGAAATTAGACGCAGAACCAATAAAGCCCCGTTTACACGAGCAAATTTTATTTGACAAATTTCATTTCATCAAAAGCATTTGTTGTTCAAATGCATTTGTCACAATAAATTTGTCACAAATTTATCATCTACACGAGCAAAATATCTCTGACATATGAAATTTGTCAAATAAAATTTGCTCGTGTAAACGGGGCTTAACACTAGTGCACATCGGTCAACTTACTTTTTCCAGTAATTAATGAGTGTGCAGAACACATAGATCTCGGCATCGTGGAACATACCACGATCAATAATACCCGCAGTGAACTCATGACCAATAGACTCAGCCATCTCAACAGGTATGTTGACCTGTGAAATACGCAAAGACACTGAACTCAATGATACTACCTGGAGTAAAACCAATACAAGTGGTGGATTTCAGTAAGCGTTTTGCCCCGCACAGACGAGACAAGTTTCCTTCACAAGTTTTCCTTGATAAATTTACTTTCTCGTATGTATGATCATCACGTTTTCGAATTCCTTGACAAGTTTCCCTGACCCTTGACAAGCTTTGTCGCTTGTGTGCACACAGAATGTTGTAAAACCGAATGTTGTAAAAATTTATCTTACATCAAGACCGCCTTTTGTTTGCCAAAACCATAGAGGTGTTTCCTGTGCACTCATCAAATTTTCCTTGGCGGTCGTACATGCGAACCGAAGTTTTCCTTGTCCAAAACTCAGCATGACAAAGCCAGACTGGCTTTGGAACAAGGCTCTTTGGCAAGGAAAAATTGTCGATTTTTGCCGTACACACAAGCAAATAAAACTTGGTAAAGAAAACTTGCTCGTCTATACGGGGCTTTAGCGGGCATGGTTGCACTTGATGAAACCCACTTGTATGAGCCCTGGAATAAAAGCCTTCGCTATGCGTGTTCCGTACCAACCTGGATCCTTGGCGGAAGTGCAGACTCCAGGTAGCAATCCAATATAGTCCGCGCTTTGAACCGGATCAATTTCTCATCATCGACTGTATAGTTCCCAGCCAGGGCACATGCCAAGGCTCCGTCTGCAATTGATTTGAACCTGTTGAAAAAAATTAAGCAGGCAATTTGTCTGACAAACGTATAAACAACCAAAAGCAAAGCAAAACAAACAACCGTCATTCAAGATAATTACCGTTGAACTTCCAACCAAAATTTCAAATCGTTGACTAAATGATCAGCAGAGATGACGCGGTTGTTGATTATTCTTTTATTTCCTTGGTTAGCGTTCTTGCGTCCTGGATATATAGAATACTAATCAGTTCTAAACTCCCCCCTTGCCACCCCCCCCCCCCTAGAGGTCCAAAAGGACCAGCCTTAATTGTGCAGTATTATTACTGGACAATACCATTCTACTTGTCAAAGGGAGGGTGCTGATACAACTTACCCTCAGGAGGAAGTTTACATTCGTTTACAAGAAATTCAGTAAAGCCCACACAACTTTCTTTCTTCGTTACACCACGAATGAACGTCATCATACTGTGACCAAACAGCGCCCAGAGACCACGCTAGATTGGAAGAATATTTTTCTTTGTGAGTTTTACTCAGCTGTATTGTCTAGCAGATGACACTTGTCTAGCAGATGGCAGTCAACCGGTTGAGTTAGAAAGTTGTTCAAATTTTACTCTGAGTGTGTCCACACCGGGAAAGCTAAAAGTTTGCTTTACCGCGGTGGAAATCGAACACCAACAACCTTTGGTTTGCGAGTCTAATGCTGTACCGAACTGAGCTACGAGTTCAAATCAGGTCGACGGCTTGACCTCATAGCTCAGTTGGTTGGCATTGGACTAGCAAAACAAAAGTTGCTGGTTCGATTTCCACCGCAATGAAGCATGCTTTTCATCTTGCCCGGTGTGATCATGGGCGTACCGGAAGGAAAAATTTAGGGGGGCGGAACGAAATTGGCCCGACTTTCCGGATTTTGCCCGACAAGTACCAAAAAAAATTTTTCCGGAATTTATTCTGGCGACATGCCCCCCCCCCCGCCCGGTACGCCTATGGGTGTGATGGCTCAGTACTCACCGGAGTACATACACCACAAATCAACATTTAAGTTGAGCACCATCTGCTGCCCTGAATCGCTTAGCAAAAACTGTGAGCTCCATATATACTGGATAATTATATCATTTCGCTCAGTTCGTATTGCAGTGAGAACTATGGAAGGAAAACTTGTTTAGCGATCTGGAATTAGCTGTAAAAAATGGTTTGAAAACCGTTACGTTTTGCGACCTTCATAGATTTTTGACGTCAATTCCGCCATCTTAATGGCTTCACTTTTCTCATAGGCCGAATGACTGAAGTTCTCGCTCCAGATATATATATATATACAGAGCTCACTGACTAAAACCTACTGGCAATATAAGAACCCCCACGTCTGCATCACAATCTATAGATTAATACACAATTACCGTTTTCCCACAAGACGCCATTTTGGTGAGTCCCAACAGAGTGTTTCTTGCCGCGTATCTCTCTACATCTTCCTCCCTAGCATCCTCTGGGAATGTTGCAAGATACCTGTTGAACCTTCAAAAAAAATTTCTCATCAGTTTAGCAACCACACCGTACATTTTTTTCAGTTCAGTCCCCATTGTGGCTTTTCACTGACCGATTACGTACATCATATATTATTCTTACTTACATGCATTACAACTTGTGATATTACTTTCCTAATCATGTTTATGCTATCCTACCCTGTCAACTTTCCAAGTGGGATCGGAGGAAACCGGAGCTTCCGAAGAAAACCCACGACGTTTGATTTCCGGAAGAGCGTTGGCAGGTTCTTCCTTTATTTTTATCTTTCTCCCCCCCCGTTGTCTTCCATTCTTATTCCGTGTCTCGCAGAGCTCTCCTTTTCCTGAGTTTCCAACCCTGAGTATTGATTCCTGCCCTGTTTCTTCAACCTACCATAGTTCTTCTAAACTACGAATAACACAAGCTTGAGCGGACACCAACATGGCTGGCGTCACGTGTTCAATGCGTGGTATCTCCCTGATAATTTCTGCTCTACACTGAAGATGTTTACCTAACAACAATTTAAAAATAAAATCAGACTTGTTAGAACAACCTTGTCACGTCTGATAATGTCAATATGTCATCAAGCTTGTGATGAGTTACAACAACTGGGAACAAGCAGTGCGAACACAATTTGTCGACAGTTTGTGAACAGATTTGTAACAACTTGTTTGCAGGCCTGTAACAACTTGTGCGTTTTTACGTGTGTAGTGCAAATAGCGCGATCTATATACTGGAAATGGTTCTGGGCCGAACAAATCATGCCTGATGTTTTCCTCTCACCAAATCCGCTCACCAATGAGTGAGGGAAGCTGGTCAACTCGGCCCACTGACCAACTCGGCCCATACCATGCATGTTGGCCCAATTGTTAACTACTGTTTGACATATTAGGAAAGCTAATATTTCACAAAAGATAGCACCAAACCTATACAGCCATTTGCAGTTGCATTAGGCGTACAGATGAGTAAAGTTTGACAACATCCAGTTTGACTTAATTTAATTAAAGAATCTATCCAAGTTTCAAATTCTCGATCTGTCCATTTTGATACTAAATTACTGACCATTCAAATCTCTCTCAACATTTGCAAAGATAGAACCCAGTCATGGCTCCTAGCTTGTTTAGCGGTTAGGTTAGTCAGTTTACAAGCAGGTGGAGTTGGCTCTTGAACAGTGGGCCGAGTTGGTTAGTGGGCCGAGTTGACTGTAAAGCTGAGTGAGAAACTAGTCAATAAACAATCAATAAACAAAATTCTTACTTGGATCGTCAGTATTTGCAAAATATTGCTTAACAATCACTCTTGCTTTCGTCTGTCTGGCTCGACTATCTTTACTCTGCGTTTTCATGCGTTCCACGTCTTGCCAAAATTTGAGAGGTGTAATGCCACCATGATCACTCAGGAATCGTTTTAACCATAATAATTGTACCGTATCAGATAGAATGTCTGTAAATTTCCTAGTAACATCAATATATTAAAATAATGGCAATAATAATTTGTTTATTATGTTAACATGATTGGAAGGTATAAAAGTAAATGTGATGCTTGTGATGTTACTCTGGATGTATATCCACACCGGGCAAGCTTGAAAAATATGCCTGGCCACGGTGGAAATCGAACCTACGACCTTTGGAATACTAGCTCAGAGTAACATCACAAGCATCATATTCACCTGAGTACATTGCACTAACACAGAAAAAAAGGTATAAATGTATTATAAGGTATCCAAAAAAAGTCCCCCTTTAGAAATCAATCTTGTGCGTTATTATACCTTTGGGAATTTAATTTAATTGTAAATGAACGTTAACGGCGGAAGTATTTATAATTTCCCTTCGTCCAAATAGTTTAACACTTCGGTTACACTTTGCGTTAACATATAAGGGGCCGATTACATGGAGCATTTTCAACCCCGGGGTTGAACTCAGCCCTGTTTATCGGGTTGAAATTTCAGCCCTGTCTGTAATACAAAACTCTATCAAAATCAAACGCGCGATTACATGACAAAATGTTCAACCCAGGGCTGAGTTCAACCGCGGGGTTGAAATTTCAACCCTGCTTCAGCTAGCAGGGTTGAAATTTCAACCCCGGGGTTGAACTCAGCCCTGGGTTGAAAATTTTGTCATGTAATCGTTTCAACCCAGGGCTGAAATTATCATGAGTTATTCGAGCATACGTGGTAGTGATTATTTATTACAAGAAAACAAAATAAAGGCTTTTTTACTTCCGGGAATCGATGCCGAGAACGTATAGTATAGCGTTTCAACCCCGGGGTTGAAATCGTCCATGTAATCGCAAAAGATTTCAACCCGGTTAACAGGGCTGAGTTCAACCCCGGGGTTGAAAGTTCTCCATGTAATCGGCCCCTAAGTCAGTGTTACGACAAATACTCGCTGCTCTGTAGTCAGTTGTTGAAACTGTACGTCGTCAGAGTGGTGTTCGCCACCGAATGGAAACATGAAGAAAAGCCGTGTTACGACACGCTGGCAACAGTTCACGACAGTTACAACAGTGTCATCGAGATAGGCTCGAGTTCTATCTCGACGACAGTTGCGACAGGCTAAAAACGTGCCGTGACGGTTGTGTTTTAATGGAAACAGAAAAACGACAACGTGGCAACAGTTTTGCTACAATCAGGTTGGGGGGCAAAGGTCCCCTTTGGAAGGACCATGTTTGTCTTTTTAAAACTGCCACCAGCTGCTTATACAATCCCTGGGTACGAAACTCACTTGCGACAGTGTCACGATAGTTACAACTCACTAGCTATATTGAAACAAGCATAAAAATCATTCACGACAAATACTTCACGACACGTTCGCGACAGTTACAACCATATGAAAACCAGACTTAATCACTGTACTACTAACGCAAAAAGCTATATATTTAAACTTACTTTGGTTTCGGTGGTCGTGTCTTGAACGCGGAGGACTGAAACAGGCTGGATTTTCTCGGCTTTCTGATTACCTTGCCATAGAAATGTGATTTCCTTCGTGCATTTTCTTCCAAAGTTTCTTCTTGAACAGGTCCCAAGACCAGTGCTACGGCAGCTTGTTCGTTCACGACTGTCAAACGTCTTTTCCTTAAACTTCCCTCGTCTTCGTCGTTCTGTTCTTCCTCGCTATCTGACGTGACGTCGTCATCTTCCTCTACGTCCATTTGTTGAAAGTCTGTAGGGAATGTAGAGGGATATTGGTGGCACATAGGATAGTGTATGCCCCCTTCACCCCTTGTGATCGGAGTTCAGCCTTTATCTTAACTCTACTCGCAGGAATTTAATTTTACCTCTGCATGGTTGAACCATGCCTAATTCTGTAGAACATCAGATCACTTTACGGTAATCCACATTCAAAGACATGTACTACCCTCTGCATGATTGAACTATATCTAATTCCAGCTACAACGTCAGGTCACTTTATCATAGCACACATTCAAGAAAATGTACTACCTCTGCATGATCTAACCATATCTTATTCTCTACTACATCATATCACTTTATGGGGTAGCCCATTTCAAAAACATGTACTATCTCTGCATGATTGAACCATGCTTAACTCAGCAATGCGTTCTGTATACAACATCAGATCACTTTAGGGAGTGTTCATTATTTATATCCGGGGTTGGTACCGAAGAGAAACTAATCGAAAAGAGAAAAAAACAACCACCCACCCTTTCGATCAACCATTTTTTTCCCTACCCAACTATTGCATGACTTAAATTTTTACTTTACCCAACCCAATTTCAAAATTATAGAAGTATTTTACATATATACATATATATTATTATACAAGCTAGACCATTACAGTATAAACAGTAGCTACTGTGCATATTTGGTGCACTAACTGAATGTCAAATATAATAATTTGTACCTTCACAAGTTCATATTATGTTTCAAGTTCATTTCATATGTTTCAAGTTCATTTCACAAGTTCATTTCATGTTATTTCCTGGAATGATCCATTTTCTTAAATAAAGGATTTTCATATTTTGTTCAAGTGAAAGTTTGTATTGAAAATAGTTTACCCAACCATAGGCTTGTTCAAAAAATATTTACCCAACCCTTCATACACCAGAAAAATGGCTTATCCAACCCATTTCTCTTCGGTACCAACCCTGGGTATAAGTAATGAACACTCCCTTATGAAAAGCTACATTCAAGAACATGTACAGCATTATGCAAGTTTGCAACAAGCCTGTAACAACTGCATATATCACCGGCTCAACTAAACTTAACTAAACTAAACCAACGGCTTTCTAAATCCAAGTCTGTAAGAAAGCCACAAATGTAGAAAGTTGATCTCTTACCTCCCACGCCTAAACATAAGGCAAGGTCTAATGCGCGGAGCGTACGAAATGGCTCTTTCTGGTCGCCATCTTGCATAGCTTCATCCAGGCACAATGATTTTCTTCTTGTGTTCATTATCTGACCATAAAATAAGCAGTAGCCATATTAGTATAGTCATATTGGTGGCAGAATGGTAACTGAATCTCTAGGAAAAACCTTCGAGAACTGATAGAGAGCTATCCAGTACAAATAAAGTTAGTTTAGTTTAAGTTTAAGCCTACTCTGGAGTGTAACTCGCCTTAAATTGCTTAAATTCGCATTAGGTCTACTGTATTAGGCCTATACTTTTTAGCCACAGACCTCCGTGGCTAAAATTATAGTGAAATTTGATATACTTTTTCCACAGACCTCTGTGGCTAAAAAGTGTACTGAAATCTGGTATACTTTTTAGCCACAGACCTCCGTGGCTAAAAGTATAGTGAAATTTGATACACTTTTTAGCCACAGACCTCTGTGGCTAAAAAGTGTACTGAAATCTGGTATACTTTTTAGCCACAGACTTCCGTGGCTAAAAGTATAGTGAAATTTGATATACTTTTTAACCACAGACCTCCATGGCTAAAAAGTATACTGAAATACTTTTTGGCCACAGATGCCGTGGCTAAAAGTATAGTGAAATTTGATACACTTTTCCCACAGACCTCTGTGGCTAAATAGTGTACTGAAGTCTGGTATACTTTTTAGCCACAGACCTCCGTGGCTAAAAGTATTGTGAAATTTGATACACTTTTTAGCCACGTGGCTAAAAAGTGTACTGAAATCTGATATACTTTTTAGCCACAGACCTCCGTGGCTAAAAGTATAGTGAAATTTGATACACTTTTTAGCCACAGACCTCTGTGGCGAAAAAGTGTACTGAAATCTGGTATACTTTTTAGCCACAGACCTCTGTGGCTAAAAAGTGTACTGAAATCTGGTATACTTTTTAGCCACAGACCTCCGTGGCTAAAAGTATAGTGAAATTTGATACACTTTTTCCACAGACCTCTGTGGCTAAATAGTGTACTGAAATCTGGTATACTTTTTAGCCACAGACCTCCGTGGCTAAAAGTATTGTAAAATTTGATACACTTTTTAGTCGCAGACCTCCGTGGCTAAAAAGTGTATCTGGTATACGTTTTAGCTACACTAAAACGTATAGTGAAATTTGATATACTTTTAGCCACAGCCGCCGTAGCTAAAAGTATAGTGAAATTTGATATACTTTTAGCCACAAATGCCGTGGCTAAAAGTATAGTGAAATTTGATATACTTTTTAGCCACAGACCTCCGTGGCTAAAAAGTGTACTGAAATCTGGTATCAGGGCCTTTTTTAACATACAAGCTGGGGGGGGGGCATTTGCCCCCCAGTCCCCCCTTGTGCCCCCCACGAAATCACATTTTGCCCCCCCCCAGGAAAAGTCCCTTTTTCCTAAAATTATACAAACAATCCAGCGAAGATTAACAAATAGATAAACGGAAAGTAAGTTGTAAGCTTTATCCTTTGTTCTTGTTTAACAAAATCGATTTAAATTGTTACTTTTTTTACCACTAAGCCATGATAAATTATTGTTAATATTTTTTTTATATTTTGGATGCTCAGAATGCAGAAAATAGCATTTCACGGTTTCAAATTTCAAAAATTTTCTTGGGATTATCCCTCTAATAAGTAATAATAAATTACAGTTAATATTCTTTTTTACTTTTTGTGCATTTTTCTATCTTTTATTTCAAATACAACTATAGTTAGCATAAATTTTAGAGCAAATTTGGATGCTCAGAATGCAGGAAATGGCATTTCTGTGGTTCAAATTTCAAAAATTTTCTGGGGGAGTACACCCCCACACACCTGACCATTGCTATCCTCCTCTAATAAGTAATGATAAATGATGGTTAATTTTTTTTTACTTTTTGTGTGTTTCTTCCTTTATTTATTTCAAATACAAGTATAGTTAGGATAAATTTTGGAGCAAATTTGGATGCTCAGAATGCAGGAAATGATATTTCCGGGAGTCAAATTTCAAAAATTTTCTGGGGGAGTACACCCCCAGACCCCCCATTCATGCGTGGTATATTTGCCACACACGTGGCTTTCAGCCATTGCTATCCCCCTCTAATATATTATCTCACAGAAAGGTCCCTTTTCAAAAAATGCCCCCCCCCCACGGGAAAATCCTTAAAAAAGGCCCTGTCTGGTATACGTTTTAGCCACAGACCTCCGTGGCTAAAAGTATAGTGAAATTTGATATACTTTTTAGCCACAGACCTCCATGGCTAAAACGTATACTGAAATACTTTTTGGCAACAGATGCCGTGGCTAAAAGTATAGTGAAATTTGATACACTTTTTGCACAGACCTCTGTGGCTAAATAGTGTACTGAAATCTGGTATACTTTTTAGCCACAGACGTCCGTGGCTAAAAGTATAGTGAAATTTGATGCACTTTTTAGCCACAGACCTCTGTGGCTAAAAAGTGTACTGAAATCTGGTACACTTTTTAGCCACAGACCTCCGTGGCTAAAAGTATAATGAAATTTAATACACTTTTTCCACAAACTTCTGTGGCTAAATAGTGTACTGAAATCTGGTATACTTTTTAGCCACAGACCTCCGTGGCTAAAAGTATAGTGAAATTTGATATACTTTTTCCACAGACTTCTGTGGCTAAAAAGTGTACTGAAATACTTTTTGGCCACAGATGCCGTGGCTAAAAGTATAGTGAAAGTTGATACACTTTTTCCGCAGACCTCTGTGGCTAAATAGTGTACTGAAATCTGATATACTTTTTAGCCACAGACCTCCGTGGCTAAAAGTATAGTGAAATTTGATACACTTGATACAATTTGAAAACCCACAGTAGCCTTTGATGACTTACCACGACGTTTTTCAAGTTTTCTTTATCAGCTTGAACAAAGCTTTGCCATGGCTCAAGTAATACCTAAATTTAAAATAAATTGAGTCAAGTTATTCCAGTTTTAGACACGATCTCACCGGGAGCAGTTAGGGAAAGTTCAACTATACAAGCATTCTGTAAGGGCCCTCTCCCGGTAAAAGTGAAACCTGTAGCCCTGGGATTCTGATGTGCAATCTGACCACAAAACCTGCAAAGTCCAGGTCCAAAGAGCTAATCATAAATGACAAGTTCATGTTTCCATGTACGAAAAATTTTAAACGTTGCGTCCAGTTGAATGACAGTTTATGATGGAATTAGAGGTTATTTCGCTGGCCTGAGAGTGACAAAACGTAACAAAGCAACGGTTTTACTAACACTAACCCTATTCCAAAAACCAACTCTAACCCTACCCTAATCCTAAACCTACTCCAGGTTTGTTTCTAAACCAATCTTGAGGGAAAAAATTTGACGAAATGCCGTGATTCTGAGGTCAGAAAACTAACCTTTCGCGTTTATGACAGCAGGAAGACAACGCTCCCAAACAAATATATCAAGCGTATCACATGCAAAAATCTCACATCCTGTATAGCAAGTCTATCAACAAGTCGTCAACAAGTTGTGGTCGCACTGCTTGTCCCAAGTTGTCAACAGGTTTGGAACCTTGTGTCATCAACCTGATAACATTCTTGTTATATCATGACTGTATCAGACTTGTTAGAATGATCTTGTAACAAGTCTGATAATGCCATCAAGTAGGGTAGGGCGCATGAGGACGCATGCCTGCACTTAATGGGTTAAATAGCATCATAGAGTATAGTCTCTTACTTCTAATAACCCATCAGCAATTTTCGACAGAATCATATCAACCTGTCCTCTTCGCAATAAATAACAAAGTCGCTCCCTTAGTCTCCAGTCCAATTTCACTTCTCTGATGCTGCCACGCTGTAAATACGTCACTATAAGATTTCTGCCCAGTCTAAACTTCAAATCGACCACACTAGAGGTAGTCATCGCTATGTATGCTTGAACATCCTCCCAAAACTGAAGATGTGCCAAGCAGCAAAGGTTGTTGATGGATTTTAGGTAAGTTTTGAACGGACCTCCGGCCAAACGATCTGCTGTAATTGATGGTAGGAACAGGCCATGGTCATCTTTCGATTTTACTGGGTGAAAGTGAATGAAACATTAAAATTAAAGCATTTGAAAAAGATTAAAAAGACCATAGGCTTTGACGTTCCCAGAGATATTAATAATATGAATAATAATATAATGATAATGTTAATAATATTAATAATATCATGAATATTACTAATATTAATAACATTATTTTTTTCCTGTGTTGGTGTACTCAGGTCAATATGATGCATGTGATGTTACTCTGAGTGTATATCCACACTGGGCAAGCTTGAAAAATATGCCTGGCCAAGGTGGGAATCGAACCTACGACCTTTGGAATACTAGCCCAATGTTCTGCCAACTGAGCTACGCGGTCAGGTCGGTTCGAGTACGTGATATTTCGGAACAGAATCTAGTTCCTTCGATATCAATGTAATCTAGTAATCATGATTTCGCCGTGGCCAGGCATATTTTTCAAGCTTGCCCAGTGTGGATATATACTCAGAGTAACATCACAAGCATCATTAATAACATTGATATTAATAATATTAATAAATTCAATAATATTAATAATATTAAAAAACTCATAATAATTCATGAAGAAAAAAGACAAAGGAAATCACTACCGTGGTTTTATATGTGATAAAATCATGTCATTTTACATAAAGCTTTGGTTCGTTCTCTCGGCTTCGAGAACGTAATGAACTCATAAGATGGGTCGTTTTTAAGCCATTTTTAAAATACTCGCAGTCCGTGCTTTATTAGATATAAAACACTCGGCTGTCGCCCTTTTTTATATCTGATAAAGCGCTCCTGCTCGTGTTTTAAATAGTACATAATTTTAATATGATTTTTATAATTTTAATTTTGTCAACACGGACGTCAGATTGCCGAGGTGGGACTGGATTAAAAACTGCGTTTGTATCAGTGGTAATCTTCAACACATATGACAAAACATAAGATTTTCAAAGTTTTTTGCTTCCTTGCACGAGCACTATGATGCAACATATCCAAAATGGATCATTCCCCAATTAACCAAAATTTCGATCTCTACAAGTCTAGACAAAATTTCATCATTGAATGAAAGAGCATCACAAAATTAGTAATATTCCAAAGTTTCAATTCGTTGCGAAATGTTGTAAAATGCGGATAATATAGCCTTGCGAAATTTGCAATTTTCAGTCATTTAGATTACAAACGGGAAATGGTTACCACTTTTCCAAAATTTTGATCTTAATTAGCCTAAACAAAAATTTCATCACAGCTTGAAAGAGCATCACAAAATTAGTAATATTCCAAAGGTTCGTTGCAAAATGTTGTAAAATGCGGATTATATAGCCTTGCGAAGTTTGCAATTTTCAGTCATTTGGTATTACGCACAGAAATTAATTGGGGATTGGTCCATTACTCATTAGCTATACAAATACGTTTAGTAAATTAAGCTTACTATAATGACAGAATGAAAAAATGTAGCTTACTTTCTTCTGAGCTCCATATGGCAGATGTCGTATGATAAGCACTCAATGGTGTCTTGGGTATTTCCTCGTGGTAGTTCGGTTTGATTATCTGCACAAGACTGGTCGCTGAGATCTTGTCCAGTATTGCAGTACCTTCGCCTAAGGCAGGGGTATCTAAATATGAAAATGTGTGCGGGATGAACGTGGAAACGCGCAATTTGTTACAGATCTGTAAACAAGTTGTAACAAAGTTACTGTCCCAGTTGTTGCGACAAGTCTGGAACATTAGCAATGGACAACTTGCATGTTAGACTAAATTTTAATCTAAGTAAAGAGAAGGGAATCAAACACAACAGTTAAAAAGAACGTAATGAAATTAGTAAAATTACAAAATTTGGTTTCGAAATGTTAGTGTAAAATACAGAAAATATAGCCTTGCGAAGTTTGCATATTTTCAGTATATTTGTATTACGTGCGGAAATTGTTACCATTTACCGCACGTAATACAAATATACTGAAAATATGCAAACTTCGCAAGGCTATATTTTCTGTATTTTACAACATTTCGTAACCAAATTTTGCAATTTTACTGATTTTGATAAGTTCTTTACGGGAATTCACATTTTTTTTTTCTAAATCAAAAATTAGTGTAACATGCTGTTGCAAGTTGTCTATTCTGTGGGCGATTTTTCTCCTCCTGGCAAATGTGATCGAATGAATGACATGCAAAAGACTTAGAACTGTTTACCTCTGAAAAGCGACTCAGTCTATACTTTCGTGTGCGAGTTCACTCATTTGCATCCGTCAGAAACACAAAATCGCCGACAAAATTGCTAGTGTGAACCAGACTTTATCTCCTTGTTACAAGGTTGATTTGCTACAAGTTATTCCAACAATTAAGATTAACACAGGCTGTTCGTAATAAGTTACTACGAGCTTGTTGTCATGCATCAATGTGTTAACAACTTGTTACGTGCAGAGGATATCAGACTTGTTGAAACAACTTGTTACGAGTCTGTTGGCTTCGTCAACCTTGTTACAAGATGATAACAACAGGGCACAATCAGTGCAATTAAATTAACACATCTTATTACATCTAATTGCCACACGCGCTGCCAGCCTACACACGTAAAAACGGGCATTGTAAAAAGGCGGAGTGCGCACTCCGTTGCACAAATTGTTACCGGTCTGCAAACAAGTTGTTACAAATCTGTTCACAAGCTGTTGACAAATTGTGTTCCCACTGCTCGTTCTTAGTTGTTGTAACAAGTTTGGAACAAGCTGTTAACAAGTTGTAACAAGCTTGATGGTGTTATCAGACTTGTTACAAGGTTGTTCTAACAAGTTTGATACAGTCATGATATAACAAGAATGTTACAAGGTTGACGACACAAGATTGTAACAATATTGTTGTATCATGACTGTATCGGACTTGTTGAAACAACTTGCAACAAGTCTGACAATATCAACAAGATTCCTGTGTGATGTTACTCTGAGTGTATATCCACACCGGGCAGGTTTGAAATATATGCCTGGCCACGGTGGGAATCGAACCTACGACCTTTGGGCCAGCCTGCCCGGTGTGGATATACACTCAGAGTAACATCACACAAGCATCTTATTCACCTGAGTACATTACACCAACACAGCAAATATCATCAACAAGATTGTTACAAGTTGTTCACAGCTTGTTCCAAACTTGTCGACAACTTGGGGGTGCGAACACAACTTGTTGACGACTTGTTGGCAGACCTGCTACAAGCAGTGAGATTTTACGCGCGTGTATGCAAATAATAGAAGAAGAAAAGTAAAGCCTCATGCAATCCTAAACCCCAAGGAATTACCTGAAAACCTTTAAACCCTTACCTTTGACATGCTTTTTCAAATGCGTATCTGTTTTAATTTTCGCTGTTTCACCGTTCTTGGTCATAGCAAATGGCGTGGAAAGTTTCAGAAATTCTTTAATATCAAACTGCCGCGTCTGTTTTCTATGAAATCTTTCGTTCGGAACAGAATTTTCATCATCGTTCGCTTCTGAGATATTTGATTGGGGAGACAGGGAGGGCAATTTTAAGCTTTCACTCCTTCCATGATCCTAGAGTGTAAATTTTTTTTAAATTATGATTTGGTACGTGCAAAGAAGCGGTTAATACGCGAAGCAGTATCATACAACAAGTACTGCTCATTCTGCAGTTACAAGAATGAATACATAATGAAAGTAATGAGCAATAAATAAAGCAAAGAGATTTAGAAGCGTAGCCATCCCTAAAGGAGTGGCAGCCCAATCGTCGAATACACAGAACTAGTGGGGAGGGCATGGTCCCCCAGAAAAGTTTCCTATTTTTTTAGGGTCTACAAAAGGCTATGCATGCATGTATCTTAAACACAGTTTGTGATATTCTGAAAGCCACAGATTTGGCATATTTTATGTCATAGATGAAAATGTCTCCTCAGCTTTGGAAGATTATGTCTCCTCAGCTTTGGAAGAATTACAACATTGGTTCTGAAGAAAAGCGGGGGGAAGGGAAGGGGATTCATCTCCACCAAGTGGCTACGTCTCTGTTTCTAAAGTTGTTCACTGTTTGCATATTAAGATCAACCCTTATACTGTACAGACTAAAGTAAAAGAGCGAGAGGTCATTGGTGGCATTTGGTGCGCAGTCCGTAATGGAGTCAAAGGTCTTCATGTGTTAATTAACTAACATTACCTTCAAATCCCTACTTGCCAAAACTAACGTACTACTTCGTTTAATCTCAGGTAAGAAAGGACTGCCATTCCTGCTCGCTCTTTCAGCATCACGATTGTCACTCTCGGTCGAAGAAACACGGTTTGTTTCAAAGAATGCATTCTTTTCTTTCTCGTATTCGTCGTCTTCTTCGATAAATTCAAGCACACCTTAACGACATTAACATTAAGTAGAACATGTTGTTATAGGGTCTGTAACCTCTCCTGATTAGATCTAATAAATGTACTCGAAATTCCCATCCTTCTACAATTTTATTTCCCACCTTTCTCTGTGTCATTCTCAAGGTCTTCTTGGACGGTATCCATTGGATTAACCTTAACAATCTCTTTCAAATGTCTAGCCACGACGGCTCGACTCAATCGTCGCTGTTGAAAGGTTGTTACCATTTCTCTACATCTGTGTAGTATGTACTTCGGTACCCAATACTTAAACAAATTCTCGACCACCAAACCTTGAGCTGCTACGAAAATATTCTCCGAAAAAATAGACACATTTTTGGAAATCTTTTTCAAAAGTTTCCCCGCTGATTCGTCACCATATACGCGCCATTTTATGGCATCTGGCACTTCATAAGCTGCACCATTGGTTAGGTATTTGAACTGTATCTCCCGAAAGACGAAACGGCGTAATTCTGGTCTTGTGTGACGACGGAATTGTTCAGCTTCGCGCCAGAAGTTTAGAATGCATTCGCCCATCGTTCCTTTGGTGTAGTAGCGAAAGTTCTGCATGCCAATTAAATTCCCGATGTGTTTTCGAAGCGTTTTTTCATCTACCATTTGTGATACTGAAAAATGTTGAAAGCATCTAAGTAAGCAATGATCGTTCGTGACATAATTAGAAACAATTAAACAAAGAAGAATTCCGCTCCGCGCGCAAAATTCCGCCTAGTTGAAAACCGGCTTTATAGTCATACTGTACAAATATCAGTTAAAAAAATTAAAATTAGAAAACTTTACCTTGCGTTTTTACTTCACTTTCAGGAGGCGAAATCAACAGTTTACATAACATGTAATCCAGGAATAAATCTGTCTTCCAAAACAATGGTAAACGTTCGGTTGAAATCCACGCTGACAAAATATTTTTGTCTATCTAAATAATACGATGGAACATAGTGAAACACCTCTCAATATTCATTTAGCTTTACTTTACTTTACTTTACTTTACTTTACTTTACAGAGTAGCTCAGTAACAAACAGTGCATACATGATGAGCTTTTAATATATTTTTTCAGGTAGTTTCATCCCTACCAATGAAAGATTATGGGAAGAGTGCTCTACCAAACCGCAAGTCTTCTTTGGATACTCCGGTTTCCCCTGTATTAACAGTAGACAGATACGGGATGGCCCTCGCTCGACCTCTGCAATGGTGATAACAGTTGAGAAATGATTGGGCTATCTATAGCATCAATATAGTTTAGTTTACTGACATATCGCGACTTACTTGAAAATTTTTAAAAGGTGGATCAACATCGAATTTCTGACGTCGTGGTCGATACAGGAACCGTCGTGGGAAAATCTGGAAAGATAAAAAAAAATAACAAATTCAGAACCATACGTAAGTTTGTCTGATTCCGGCATTTGTTTACAGATGGGAATTCGTTACGGCTGTGCTCGAATTCGCCAACAAAGGAGACTGAATCTTTCTGCATCTCATGCGAATGCAAAAAGCGCTAAGTACGCGCCAACCAGGTATATGACTGAAAAAACAACTTGTATTATTGCTCGTTTAATACCAAAGAAAAAGAACACTTTATTGTGTAAGCTAGATTAATAACGGTTTAAAACAGGGTTTAAAACAACAATGTAATTCTTACCGGTAGTGATAAAAAAGTGTTGAAATAATCTACAAAGATTTCATCTTGCAAAAACTCTTCAAAATCTTCAACATTAATCGAATCATCTATCCCCATGATTGGCAGATCAACCATGACTGAGGAAGCGAAAAAATAATTTATTAAATGGTTTAGTTCATTGCTAATGAAGTAATGATTAATGAGCCAAGGTTTTTGTAAATTACAACGCCAAAGACCGTTTTATTACATCGTGAACGGACACCGTCATTCGAGACATGCCTGGAAAACTCTGCAACTTCCAACGTCTCTATAATGATCTTTACGTGATTTATGTAAAGGAAAAAGGCGACTTCACCATTCACACATTTTTCTCATTATTATTTCAACAATATGGTTAAGTATTCGACGAGATACTATCATTCAATGATTGCTTTTTTGTACCAAAAATCGATTGTCTTTACCAGGTAGAAATTTGTTAATTTGACTAATCATCGTGAACAAAAAGACAGAACAAAATCTTTGGCCAAATTTCAGTCCAGACTATGACATGTCCATTGACTATGGTGTAAGCAATAAAGTAAATAAATTTGTATTTACCTGACTGATAATTGATAAGGCTGATGAATAAAACAATCGGTTTTGCAAGATACCCTTCCGTCCAGTTTGTTTAGAAATGGCGGAACCGGTAAAGTCCCTTTGTTGGCGTCACTAATCACACTAATTTGACGCACGCATTTTAGTCGTGAACAACCAACAAAGCTGAATTTTTAATGAAGACAAAATATAAACCAACTTTTTACGATAACTTCCTATTGAATTATAGGTGGCCGTAAGGGCGTTTGCATAAGACTTGGCATAACAATATTGCATGCATTAACAATCCATTGATCAAATGTTTTCTTTTCATTGTCTTGAAAATCCCACTGTTTTCTATGCCACCCCGCACATTGTTTTGACGTTTATGCAAAGGTCCATTGCGGCTATATTTGGCTATATTGATATGATATACATTGTATATCATATCAATATAGCCAAATATAGCTATACATGTAAAACGGCTCAAAATTGTCTGATACAGCAAATGAAAGCTTATTTTAGTAAAATCATAGCTAATTAGCATATTTTACGAATTCGAGCCACAATACTCGAACGCTATGAAGTACTTCTCAACCAACCGCTGTGCATTATGATAGAAAAACTGAGCCGAATACAAAATAATAAAATATAAAAGGACGAAAAGTTGTCATTTTTGAGTTGAAAAAAGTTATTTAATTTTGTTGTATTTAACATATTTCTGCAACAAAGACAAGCCAAATATATAAGGAACCTTGCACCTCGATATAATGTTAATAAAAGTCAAGGTACGCCGGCAAACTTTGCTTCAATTTGAAACGTTATATATTGACAGGATGTGACATTTGCTAATTTTACCTTTTCTTTTTAACTCATGTTAGACTTTAACGGGGAAAGAGGTAGGAAGACCACTGAGAGAAGTATATAAGACCTAAATTGTAGATAAAAATATGTACTAAAATATGTGCTATAAATGGCCATATTTATGCCAGAGACGGATGATCTGTCTGGAGTCTGGACGGATGATCTGTCTAGATGAAATTGGGCAAAGAGAATATAGTTCGTCTGATAATTCGTATGTGTGTAAATACAGGCAAATTTAGAGTACATTGTTATCGAAGGAACTAGACTCAGTTCCGAAATATCACCAACTTGACCTCATAGCTCAGTTGGTAGAGCATTGGACTAGTATCCCAAAGGTCACGAGTTCGATTCTCCACCGTGGTCAAGCAAACTTTTCAGCTTGCCCGGTGTGGATGCACACTCAGAGTAACACCACAAACATCATATTCACCTGAGAACATAACACCAACACACACAAATTTGACAAAAAGATAAATCATCCATCAGAGCAAAATATCTGTGTGATGTGTCTACTTAGACGAAATTGTGTGCGTAGTTCATCTTGACAGAGAATCCATCTGTTTGCCTACGTTGGATGGATGATCATCTTTAGTATAATTCCAGCCAATATTAAATAATGGCCTAAATTATACTGTATTATTTAATTAATGACTGTGTACCAATTTTCTTGATCACTTATAACTGAGATGAATATTTTTGGTAATTTACACTACTTTATTACAGATTGAAATTGATATTGAACCAACAGACAAGGTATAAGTATTAAGTATTCCTAGACAAAACAAGCCTGTTGACAAATAGATTTTTTGCTGCAACCACAGTGATATATCTGTTCCAATACAAAAACTGGCTCTCCCCCCCCCCCCCCCCCACCCCCACATTGATTTGCTGATCTATAATACGGGTGGGTCTGTGGGTGACATCATCAAGTTTCAACAAAAGTGATTGCAAACTACAATAGTCTGTCTTTATTCATGTCTTTTGCCTTTCACAAATGCAATCACAAGCCCCAAGATGAAAGTGCGAGTTCCCTATTGTTCTACATTATTTTGTGAAATATTGCATGTAGCCAAACTACTAGCAAAAAACACATGTGATTTTTTAAATGCTGACCAAACATATCACAGGCTCAAGTGATATCAAAGTTGTCAATACTTTTCAAGTATCAATATTTGGTACCTGCCCATCCCTAATCTGTGACAAACTTGAGAGCAGGGTTGAGAGTGGCAATAAACCTATGGATTTGTAGGACATTTCGTCTCTGAAGTTTTAAAATAAACAGACATGCAGAAATACATAAACTAAAACAGCAGGTTAAATTTTAACCAAGGGTTAGCACTAATCCAGCTTTGAATGGTGGAAGTCAGGGATCATCATCTTTGTAAAAGTACATTTTAACAAACAAATTTTCTTTAAGGTTGAAAGAATAAAAGAAAGAGTTGAAGAAAAAGAAGGGATCCCACCCCCACAGCAAAGGTAGAGTGGCAATCCCCTATGGCTGTTTCTGTTAGAGTTGCACATCATTTATTAACAATTATTATACATTTAATATGTATTCTCATTTCTAATTGGTCAGAAACCACCGGCTAATTTTCAGTATTCAGCATTTATTACGTATTTTCCGCCGATGACGTCATCAGCGTCCAATAATTGTTTTTTTGGATCGAACTTGCATCCCCCCAAAAAATTATTGGACTCTCTCGTGCCCAAACCCTTGCGCGGCCAAAAGCTTGAACCTATAAGCGCGGGGAAAAAACAAACAAACAATGGCCTACAGTAGATTTGCTTCGCTGAATCCAAATTATTGGCAGATAAGGATAGTGAAAGCACGAAAAAAGCCACAAAGGGGTAAATAGAAGTAGAAATATAATATTTGCTGACCTTTGACTTTGTGCAAGGTGTTTGATATTCAAATTGTACTTTTCCTACCTCGTGAACAGGAATCGTTTTATACATTTCTCATGTCTTTAAATGTATAATAAAACAATTATTGGATTCTGCTTTCGCATGATATCAAGAATCATTCAGACCTCGGTCTATGTTATCCGCCTCAGCTTCGCTTCGGCAGATAACATTGACCTCGGTCTGAATAATTCTTGATATCATGCTCAGCCTCATCCAATAATTGCTTATTATTATTCTGTCTCTAGATTAATCTTCAGTGGAAAACAGATGTAAGTAGTTCACAAGTGGACCAAATGCAATTAGCCTTTCTCACAATGACGAATATCTGCCATTTTTGGGTGGCATGCAATTCTCGTCAACTAATGCAGACAATTAAAACAATGTGAAAAGCAATTTTTCAAAATAAACTAACCATTTACAAAGCAAATTGACCACAATTCGCCCAAAAACGTAAATAAAAAAAAAGTCGATGGACTTATCTCGCAGACCTCAGCTGCAAAATTTGTTTCAAGTCAGAGAGACCGGACATCATCACTTCATTTAACTAAACTACATTTGTCATATTACCTTGACCAGCAAAAAAATGAAGCCAAAAATGTGACAGATTTTAACACTATTACCTTGGCTATTGGTCTCTTCTGCCCATGGCAATTACCACTGACCAGCTTGAGCCTGTATTTATTTTCACAAACCCCAATGAAAAATTGAAAACTATGTGATAAAATTGGCCAATGGTTAATGTCCACAATTAATCAATATTTTTATGATAGTAAGCTAGAATGAAACACCATAACCCCCTGTAGTCCGTGTGTTGTGACCTTGAAAAGTGCCTAGAAAACGATTTTCATGATGCATGTCTTAGATCTGAAATACTTTTACGGAAACTAACACTTTCGAACACGCTGATTTCAAATCCGAAAAGTTCCCACTCCGTAGACCCACAGTTTTTTCACAAAATGCTATTTTATCTTCACTAATTTCACAACAAATTTTTTCATTGTTCAACGACACGGATCGATGACGATACACGATTATGTCACTCAAAAGGGCCAATTTCTATTAACCATTCTTCCTTTAAACAAAAGACCGGTTTTACTCGAATCATTTTGAGTTATGCAATCTTATGCGTGTTAGACGTAAACAACATATCTTGTCTACAACTTTGAGAAGGTACAGATAATTCCTTCTAAAATCCTTAGTTCTGGATCTATCTTTATAAAATCACAAGGACGTTAATGTCAAGTCTTTGTGCTATGTCTCTGGGATGAGAAATAATTCCTTACATGCGATCAAAATGTTTTATACAAACATATAAAACGGTAATCTATATGTAATGGATCAGCATTGAAATTTCCAACACGGTTTCCGAGACGTAATTCAAGATTAACTTATCATTGCATTTGAACTATTACATCAGTTGGTGTTATACTGTGCGATAAGCGAATATTATTGGAAAGAGGGCTTCTATATACGTTGAAATCATCAAATAAACAGCTCATGCACACATTTCTGCACTTTGTAGTAAGTTTAGAGAGCATATTTTATACTTTGGGACTGATCTTTGTCTTTGATGTGAACATTTATTCTCATAGTTTAAGGTTATTTAAGATTGATCCTGTCCTAAGTCTTCTAGCAGCAACCATTCGACAATATTTCATTTTAGCGCTGTCTTTGCCGTTACGTTGGCTTCGCGTTACTTTTGTTTTAAATAACTTGATCGCGTTAAAAGAGTTATTTTTCAGGCCAGTGACATAGCTAAAAGACGTTGCATTAATGTCCTTGTGATTTTATAGAGATATCTCTAGAACTGATGATTTTAGAAAGCGTTATCTGTACCTTCTCAAAGTTGTAGACAAGATATGTTGTTTACGTCCAACACGCATAAGATTGCATAAATCAAAATGATTCGAGCAAAACCGATCTTTTGTTAAAAGGAATAATGGTTAATAGAAACTGGTCTTTTGAGTGACATAATCGTGTATCGTCGTCGATCCGTATCGTTGAACAATGAAAAAATATGTTGTGAAATTAGTGAAGATAAAATACCATTTTGTGAAAAAACTGCGGGTCTACGGAGTGGGAACTTTTCGGATTTGAACTCAGCGTGTTCGAAAGTGTTAGTTCCCGTAAAAATATTTCAGATCTAAGACATGCATCATGAAAGTGAACGATATCGGGTCACAACACGCGGACTACTGTATGAGAATGAGCCTCGCCCTTTTATAGATATATATCTCCCTTCTAGGAATGATGAGAAAACAGCTTCAGATTACAAGATCCAGGGTGGATCCGTCCTCCATTTAGTTCTTGCTTTGAGAGGAGGACTCTTTTTATAATGTAAATAATTGAAACAAATATAAACTGCATGTGGAAGAACAATAGTCCAAATATATTGTGAAATAGTAGAATATTTTGTGAAACAATTCTCAATTACACTGTAATTGATGTAACAACATTGATGTAATCTAACTGTATTATGGTTGATATTTGTGATAAATAATGCAATAAAAATTGTTGATGTTCAATTGAACAAATCTATTCACAAGTACTATATGTTATTCAGTCAGTCACTTTTTCAATCACTCTTATTAATAATTCATGAGGAAAACACAAAGAAAAATCATAAGCATGCATGTCGTATCTTTATATGTGATAGAAATTTCCTTGCATGATTCACATAAATTTCAACTTCGATTTTCTCGACTTACACAACGTATTTTTTGAAAATTACTTCGCCAATGAACAAACGAGATCGATAATTTTTGAAGCAATTTAAAACATTAGCAGTGTGTGTTTTATCAGACCTAAAGATACTCGGCTTCGCCTCGTATATTTATGTCTGATAAACACTGCTGCTCATGTTTTAAATAGTACATCAATGCTGTCAATATTAAAACCAGGGCTTAGAATTTCTAAGTACTTGTATGCCTTGTCAATTCTTAAAGCTTTCTTGAGCAAAAAGCTGAACGGCCAACGGTACTTCACATCACCATCCGATGAGGTGTCAGTCCAACCCATTCTTTCAGCCACAAGTTTACCAATAACTCTATAATTATACCTTGGATCACTGGTGAACTTTTCTTGCAGTAGTTGCATGATTTCAAAACAAGAACAGTTATGAGCACAAGAATGCGCCTTCGTTACTTTTCTCCATAGTTCTTTCTCCAGAGTAGAAATCGAAATGGAATGAAATGAACTAAAATGAAACATTTTTACCAAGTGGAACCGTAACTCAGCCATGTGATGTGCAATATCTAGGAATTTATCAGTAAAAGGATTTGAAATAAAGTTATGAATGTCAACATAAGGAAAATTCGACGAAAATTCACGACTAGCTTCAAATGCGAATCGCCAGCAGCGTGTGGGACATGTTTTTATCTTTATATATTCCTTTATTTTTGTTTTATTGGGAAGCATCTCGTTTATACCTGGACATTCAAATAAACCTTCGTGGTTGAGCATGTTTCTCAAGTCTTCTTGCGGTGTACGGTAAAACTGGTTGTAAATCAGATGATATTCTGCCTCGCGTTCGGGATAATTTGAAGGTTCTTTATCAAGTGACAGTCCTAGATTCTGGAATCCTTCTTCTGTCGCACTGTAGAGATATGCTAAGTAGATAGGCTGAATGCCATGACTGTTTGTGCAATTTAATGGTAATGCTGGTATCTTGCGGTGAACCATCTCCACCACCGCCATTCCGCGACTCCCCGCAAGGTGAAGTGGTGACAAGTCAACGTGCTCGGTGTTACATTGAAAAACAGAATGATTTTTCTCTTGCATTTTTTCTAACAATTTGTCGAAAATATGTTCTGGGTAATATTTACGATTATGGATTGGGCGTCCAAGGTTAACGCTAGCAAGAGCAAGGGCAGTCAAATTAGATTTCGTTTTCTTAGAAACATCAGCTCCAATTTCAATGAACCAGGAGACTGCAGGCAAGTTTGTACCCTGCACTGCTCGATGGATTGCTAAATACCCTTCCTTGTCATAACATTCGTTTAAAATTTCAACACTTTTGGGATGACTCGCAATTAATCTTTGAAGTGGAAATGGAATACCGTTGACTGACGGTTGGAAAAGATTCCCAACTTCCAAAAACGGAAATGTTCTTAAATACGCCATGAGGTGTAACTCGGATTGTGCAAAAGGGACGTCACAGGCCACCTCTACATTCATTTGAAAAATTTTAAAAACTTCCAGGACCTCGCCAAGTTGTTGAACCCGAAACCAGGACTCGATATCGTTTGGCGATATTAAACACTCTTTAATAAAGTGTTCATGTGCACAGTTCACATCAAGTCCAGACTTGAACAATGCGTACAGGCTTAAAGGTAACTGGTGGCGTAGCAAACCACGCAATAAATTCTTAGCTCTCGTATCACATTTCTTAATGGTTGCATTCTGTAACAGATAATTTACTAATTCATCAAATCGGGTGCTCTGACATACGCGAAACACTTGATCACTTGTCAACCGGCATGGAAGAACAGTTATAGTATCTAAACGAGACTTTTCTCGCAATGCAAATTCCAAGGCAGTGTCACCCCTTTGATCTTTCATACTCCAGTCAGCTCCTGCGTTTACTAAATATCCCACGACTTTTGGCAAACCGTGTACAGCTGCATAATGTAGAGCAGTTCTTCCATATTTATCTTGTTTATTTATGTCTGATACGAGAACTTTTAGCAGTAACCTTACCGTTTCTAAACGTTTTTCTTCCATAATGTCGGAACTCGCCATGTTTGGACAAACACAGGCAGAAAACGCACATGATTGCGTTACATAAAACTCTGTCTTAGGTTTAGACGACCCTAAAGTGGCAAAATGAAGCAGGGTTTTCCCATCTTCGTACACGGCTGTGAATTTACTCAAATCTCCACTGTTCAAAAGATACCTAAGAAATTCTGCTGAATTACAAACTGCCACATAACGCAATATTGTCTCGATGTTGGGAGCAGAGTAAATTTTGTTGCCATGTGGCATTAATAAAATCGATTTGATCGTAAATTACTGCAATCGTTGTCGGACTCCATCTCACATTATTCGAAGAAACCGCGTTAAGTAACGGAATCATCATTACCCAAAGTTCGTGTGCAAAAGAGAAATCTATCACACGATATCCATTGCAAACAGATCGATCACAATAATGAATGTATAGTGACATCTCGGCGTCAGTTGCATACTTGAGACCATGACAATCCCAGTCTGAAAATAAACTGATTTCGCAGTCTGCGTTGATGTCTGCTCCTGCGTTTATAAGTTCTTTCACCATCTGAATATTTTTTCGAGAAAATGCCTCCATCAATGGCGTTCGGCCGCCTGAGCCATGCTTACAGTTAACCGATGCATTACCGTTCTTAAGTATTAATTTTGCCATCTCTAGGTTATCTCTGGATACGGCTGCATGAAGTGCTGTTTCGCAAAAGCAGTGATGGAACTGATTGACGTTCATACTACACGATGACCTGTTCCCTGGTTTGCAAGGCAAACATTTGTCACGTACTCCAGTGTTAAGAAGAAACCGCACAATTTCTGTGTGATTTCTTGCAGCGGCATGATGGAGAGAAACGAGATCAGGCTGAGCTCCTTTGTTTATGTAAAGTTGAACTATTTCAAATTTAGCCATTAATACTGCCAAATGCAGAGGTTTCCAGCCGCAATTGTCAGCTTTCTCTATTTTCGCACCTCTTTTAATCAAAAGTTCTGCAATTTTTGTATATCCCCTATATGCTGCTATAGAACTCATACTGCTGATGAACCTGGGTATAAAAAAATAACTCGAGGGGGGATCGATAAAATCCGAGGAAAAGCAGGTTCTGGTTTCAACGGTGTAACTTACATTTGCCCCGTTATCGATGAATAAGTTTACATTTTCGTAGCTACCTGCGTCTACAGCATACATCGCAGGTGTCCATGAGTTCAAGTCCAGAATGTCAACACATTTAAACTGTTTTATGAGCACATCAATAAGTCCATTGGCGTCCCTTCTTGATGCAAGATCATGTAATATAGTTCTATTCCAGATTTTCTCTCTAACGTCGGACACTTTCAAAGAACTAAGCTTTCTTCTATTCGATACGGTTGCCTTTTCTCCATGCAAAATATGCATACATAGTTCTGATAATTCTTTAAAAGTAAGGTCAGTCTGTCTTTCACTGTAGAAATGAAATAGGTAGTCGACTATGTATTGGTGGCCTCTTGATTTCTGTACAACAATTTCATTACTGCCGTGTGTTTGCTTAATTAACCATTCTGCAAAGAATTGATGGTGAAATTCAAGAGGTCCTTGGTCAATATCAGACTTGAAATATTCAGAAAGTTTCAGGACAGTACTGCGGGTATTGTAATTTTTGTAGTGGTAATTTAAAGTTTTGTCAAGCTCAAGTAACATTGGAGGCGAGTTTGAGGCAAGAATTACCTCTAAAAGCGGCTGAAAGTCAGAAAAGTCAGCTTTTTCAAATCGTTCTGAGAAAGCAGTTGCATAAATATCTCCCAAATTCTTAGGAATATACTCTGCGTTCATCTGGTCTGGATATTTTCGCCAGAGCTTTATAATTCTTTCAAGAAATAGAAAATTACCTTTGGAAAACTCCGCAGCCAGATCAATCGAGCGGTTCAGAGGTAATTTTTCCTCCATCGATGGTACTTCAGAGTAAAATATTTGAAGGGTTTGTTTTGCGTAATTACGAAGGTCTCGCAAATTACGTGGGTTTGTTACATTTATTTGTAAGGTCGAGAATCCATGAATTTTCGATATTTTACCGGTAGCCTGGGCTTGATTTCGTGATGTCACTATTAGTTTTACCCAAGTTGGAAGTTCCGGCACATTGTCACTGCTTGACAAAATATTCACAATTATCGACTTATGGCGTTCCTCTTTTTCCAAACACTCATCTAAGGCGTCAATAAGAATAAACGAGTTGTTTCTACCGGTGGCGTTTAGTTTTTGAAGAGGCTCTACTATTGCCTTTTGAAAACATTCGACTGGACTCTCCTCGCAATTAGACTGTAATTCATCCTTTATTAACTGGTCGTTGTCGACAAATTCTCTGAATTCGGTATTTTTTTTGCCAATTGAGTTAACTAAATTTTCAACCAATCGTTTTCCATCGCGTGTGGATTTTTTATTGTACTTGCAGAAATGGTGACCGATAATATTTTCATGAATGATAGCACTGGAATTTGACGAGTGAATCAAACGTTTCATGATTTCTGATTTACCCCAACCTGGATCAGCTATAAGTTGAACGCCACGTACGTCGCTTGTGTTTAAAATGTTCTCTAACTTTCGAAAAACCCATTCTCGACCAACAAAATCTGGATTGGAAAAGTTTTGAATGTAGGAAAAGTTTTGAGGGTGGGAAAGGTTGTGAGGGCGGGAATGGTCTCGTTCTTTCCAAAAATGGATAAAACTGAGAATCGTCAACTCACAAACAATAAATACCAAAATTATACCAAGTAAGATGAGTGTTCTGTGTTGTCCTGCCATTATGTATTTCGTATTTCTTGCATTCTCTTTTGCAATTGTTCGATTTGCTTCGGTTTGCTTCAGAACTTCAAGCAAAATTTTTTCAATTTTTTCATCCTTTTCATGCCATTCATTTAGTTGGTCTATATATATGCAAATCTCTTCTTCGTCAAGAGGCTTCAACTTTAATTTTGCAAGGTCTCCCATATCAGCACCAAGCCTCACCAATGCATCCGAAATATTACTCCAGTAAGTGTTCAATTCAACGTCACTTAGTTCAGTGTTGTTCCTGTGAGCAAGTTTATTTCTGTAATACTTAATTCTTACCAAGTCAGCTTCCGGGGATTTGTCGGTCGACGGAGGATTATCTTTGAATGATCCAGTAGATGAAGGGGCGGTCAGACCACAAATATTACGAAGTAAAACGAACAGTAAAGTGATATCATATTTATTGGACGTTGTCGGTGGCATTCCAGCTGGGGAAAACAACAATTCCTTTTGTTCATCAGTGATAACTCCTTTCGTATGCAGTGTATCCAGTTTCGTGCGGTTGGCATTTAAGACGGTGGTTAAGGTGGCAGGAGGACGACAAATATCAAAGTACTTTCGCACTGTTTCAGTTCCTTCGTCAATAATTAAACGGCAAAGTTTTGCTCCGTTGGATTTAAGATGATTGGAAGACATGGCGACCTAGAAATACCAACAGGCACGAGGTTTCAACATGACATAGCTTGCATAGTACAAACAAAACTACAGCACTATTTGTAGCGTCATTAGTGTATACCCCCAAAAAAAAAACTGTCATCAAATAGACGCCAGACCAGAAGCGCTGATGGATTCAAAGTGATAAAAAAATGCATTAAAATCCCAACGGTTGATGGCAATTGTGGTCAACAAATAAAACGTAACTTTAAAAAATCAGTTCGCGAGTCAGCAGGCAAGACCGCCAAAAAACATGCCCTTCAAGTAACTTTTTATAGCCAGCCTCGCACCCAGGCGCAAATAACTAAAATAGGCACACTACAGTATTTTCATATAGATCAGTGGCAAGGTGAGCGAGCGCGCGCGCGGGGGTGCTTGGGGAGGACTCGCCCCCCCCGTCAGCTTAGCCACTGATCTATATAAAACACAGTAGTGTGCCTATTTTTGGTTATTTGCGCCTGGGTACGAGGCTGTTTTATAGCTCAAAATGTCGACATGACGTGACAATTATCGCCTATCGTCAGCATCACTATTTTTTCATATCAGTTTATAGGTATTTTATATACATGCACGTATACCTGTAATGATGTATGGCAAATAGATGGTCACAATTTGAGAATTGTTTCGTTGGGTTCAAAATGCACCAATTTATAGATATACGCAACTACTGCGTTAATCGTACTATTCGACAATGAACCACAAATCTAACGAGCTTCAGCTGTCTTTTTTTCCTCTAAAAAGGCAAAACAAATTTGTTTGTAAGCGAAATTCCTTTGATTTCATTTCAAATGCAAATTCAATCTTAAGCAACTCAGCGTGAGGTTTGGATTTTATTATTCGACTGACATCGCCTAAAGTTTGGTTTACACTATCAAAGTTTCTGTGATCACAGTAGGAATTTTGAATAGGTAAATTCTAAGTTCTGAATGATTTGTGAGAAATGTTTGAGAGAACTGAGTCAGTTCCCACAAACATCTTACAAATCCTTCAAAACTTGAAGAATGTGCTGAACCTCTACTGTGATCACAGAAACGTTGAGTGTAAACCGGCCTTATGGGACTGGTTTGGTTGTGGGGTTAGTTTGACCAAGTGTGACACGATTTAAAACGGTTTTGCTGCTAGAATGGCTTTAGTGTTATCGAATGTATCGTGCAACATCATGTATTATTGTTTATTGAGCGCATGCATGTTGTGAACAGGTAGATTATACGCAAAGTGTAATGGAGCGTTCATAACACAGCAGTGTTGCTATCGCAGTACAGATTTAAGAGTGCATGAAAAATTGCATTAAAATCCCGATTATGGTCAATAAGTTTGATTACATATAAACGTATAACTTTCAAAGATTTTGCGGGTCAGCAGCCACGAAAATATCATGCAATCTAAAAACAGAAAATGTATAATAGGTATGCATGCCAGCAAATAGGTATGCCGCCCTTCAAATGACTTTTCAAAGCTTAAAAGTGTCGCCGAGCAAAACAGCGACTTTTCATCCAGAGTGGACTGAAAAATATCACAATATCGATATAATTATCGCCTATTGCCAGTTTTTCCCCCATCTGAAACTGAACTATTTTAATAAGCATGCACCTACCTCGGTTAACAGTGTGGCGTATGACAAATTGTAGATGGTCTTTCGGGCGATGAACGTCGTTGACGGTTTAAAGCACACCAATTTATAGATATACGAACAACTGCTGCGTCTATCGTTTATAGTATTCGAAAACAAACTGCAAAGCTAACGAGCTTAAGCTATCTTTTTTTCTTCAAACGCACTGAACAAATTTTTACACATGCAGTAAGCGAAATTCCTTCGATTTGAAATGCAAATTCAATACTTATATTAAGAAACTCAGCGTGAGATTTGGATTCTATTATTTCGGATGAACATTGACTAGTTCATTTTGGTTGCAGGGTTAGTATGACTGAGTTTGACATGATCTGAAAATGTTTTGCTGCTAAAAAGGCTTTAGTGTTATCGAATAAATAACATGCACGTGCAACATTTAGTCTATTGCAGCGCATGTTGTGAACAGGTTATGCAACGTTGCGTTCAACTCAGATGTTGTCGATAAGGTAAGAACTAGAAGTTATTATCGCAAGGAACGTGCTGCCTAAAACTTGGCGTTCCATGTTGGACAATTTCGTATTGTTTTAAAGCGCCGATGACACCACGAAGGAGCATTGCTCTTCCATGGTATCTTTGAAAAAAGATAAACAAATTTTACATCTATTGCTCTTTAAAGAATACAGTTTAGTCAAGTTATCGGATAGTCAGATAACGCGACTTGAGAAAAATCGCACGAAAGACTGGGCCGAGTGAATTCTGGAGAAACGTTAGAACAGATCAAACAATATGCTTGATAAAACAATATGACGAGAAAACGGCTTCAGATTACAAGATGCAGGGTGGATCCGTTCTGCATTTAGTTCTTACTTTGAAAGGAGGACTCTCTTTATAATGTAAACAAGACGCTCTGTAGAGCGTTAACTCGCTGGGGCTATACAAATACGCACATTAATGTATATGATGCATAAGTACACAGTTATTTCAATTAAGATTTAAGGTTGTTCCTGAACTAAGCGGAAAAGTCGAATACGAACACAAAAGGCTGTTTAACACAGTACTAAAATGCGGTGCTCTACAAATAAAACTTCCGGCGTTCCGTCTGCAAGTAAAGTTATATTTAGTACGCTATATTAGTAGTATATACATTCTTCTGTCAGTCGCCAGTTGGCCCGTACGCAAGGATTAAACTGCGCTTTAAAACGTTCAAAGGAAAATATTTGAGGGCTTTTGGGTTCAAAATACTATCAAGACGAAGAGAGAAGTGAGACGAATCCACTGGTATATGGCCGAAAAAGAGAAAACCAACGATATCAAAGTTATCAAGGATCAAACGCACTGCATTTTTAATTAGTTTAATAATTTTGAGCGATTTGTCAACAATACAATTTAGCTTGGCTTTCAAAGACAAAGGCCGTAAATCGCTAGAATACTGTTGTTTATATACTGTAGTATAAATACATTTGACATCCGTAAGTACAATTTCTTACGCTGAATCGAACGGTCGTATTTTTATCCTTTATGTATTGCGCCATTAGGCATTTATGCAAATACAATATCATGTTTCATACTACACTCTACAGCTTTCACCTTTCCACAGCTACTAACTATAAGGGACTGTTGTTGGATAAATTTTATATTGATATGACACCAATATGCTTCTCATAACGTATTTATCTATTATAAAACTACGTTGTGTAGTTTAAGTTATAACCTTTTACCTTGAAATTGTATTTGGCTCGTTTAGATTCAGATTCAGTATATCATGATCGTGCACGGGAATTTAACGATCCAAATTTCGGATTTTCAGAGTCGTGCACCAAGAAATATGCATTAACTAAACTAGCAAGAATGTCCAGAGTTAGACACAATGCAAAATCCATAGAAAACATGTACAATTCGTTGAAAATTTTAACGAAATTGTTTGAAACATTTGCCCACTCCACGAAATTGTTTGAAACATTTTGCCCACTTGCTGACGTTAGGGATGGGCCGATATCGATACCAAATACTCGATACTATCGATACCAGGGTTTTGAAGAAAAGTATCGATACTGGCAAGAAATATCGATGTTTCGACATTTCTGCGCCTGCGATATTTTTCATTTTGGTCAGCGGCATCATCATGAAAATATACATTTGGTTCTATAGATTCATGTCTCGCTATTTATGAATGCTAACCCTAATCCTAATCTTAATCCTAACCCTAACCGCTAACCCTAACGCATAAACAGCGAGACATGAATCTCATCCAAATGAGACCAAAAAGCCTAAATAGGCGTAAATACTATAAAAGTGGTTCATTTTCTATGGTGCTATAATGGTCCACGGGCAGGATGGGAGTTTCTGGTTATGTTGGTTGCAATCACTGACATATATTATTCAATGTTTATATTGTTAGCGTTGTTGCCGTTGTTAATGATTAAAAATATTCTCTTTGTTGTTATGGTTGTTCGAGTCGGGAAAATATCGATATCGATATCGGAAAAACCCGGCAAATATCGAAGAAATATCGTATCGAATGAAAAAGCTGGTATCGCCCATCCCTAGCTGACGTTGCTGTTTCCATGTCGAAATTCCTTGTGAAATTGTTCAATTTTCCCGAATTTTCCTCAAAATGCAGGGTTATTTATGGATAATTTGGGTAAAATTTTCAGGAGCCTTATGGATAATTTGGGTGAAAATTAGGCAGCTCATTAAAGCCGAAACCTATACTCGTCTGGGGCACAAGTGCCCCAGCGAGTAATAACTGAAACAAATATAAACTGCATGTGGAAGAAGAATAGTCAACATCTATCGTGAAATAATAGAATATTTTGTGAAACAATTCTCAATTACATAATTGATGTAACAGGCTACAGCATTGATGTGATCTCACTGTATTACGGTTCATATTTGTAATAAATGATGTAATAAAAATTGTTGATGTTCATTTGAACAAATCTGTTTACAAGTATGTTAGTCAGTCGGTCGCTTTCTCAATGACTCTCTAATACTGTCACGATTAAAATGAGGGCTGAGAATTTCTAAGTACTTGTATGCCTTGTCAGTTCTTAAAGCTTTCTTCAGCAAAAAGCCGAAAGGCCAACGGTACTTCACATCACCATCCGATGAGGTGTCAGTCCAACCCATTCTTTCAGCTACAAATTTACCAACAAAATCATACCATGGTTCACTGGTAAACTTTTCTTGCAGTAGTTGCATGATTTCAAAACAAGAACAGTTATGAGCACAAGAGTGCGCCTTTATTACTTTTCTCCATAGTTCTTTCTCCAGAGTAGAAATCGAAATGAAACGAAATGAACTAAAATGAAACATTTTCACCAAGTGAAACCGTAACTCAGCCATATGATGAGCAATGTCTATGAATTTATCAGTAAAAGGATTTGAAATAAAGTTTTGAATGTCAACATAAGGAAAATTTGACGAAAATTCACGGCTGACTTTAAATGCGGATCGCCAGCAGCGTGTGGGACATGTTTTTATCTTTATATATTCCTTTATTTCTGTTTTATTGGGAAGCAACTCGTTTATACCTGGACATTCAAATAAACCTTCGTGGTTGAGCATGTCTCTCAAGTCTTCTTGCGGTGTACGGTAAAACTGGTTGTAAATCAGATGGTATTCTGCCTCGCGTTCGGGATAATTTGAAGGTCCTTTATCAAGTGACAGTCCTAGATACTGAAATGCTTCTTCGTCTTTCCACCAATTGTAGGAAACTGTCGCATTGTAGAGACAGGCTAAGTAGATAGGCTGAATCCCGTCACTGTTTGTGCAATTTAATGGTAATGCTGGTATCTTGCGGTGAACCATCTCCACCACCGTCACGCTGCGACTCCCCGCAACGTGAAGTGGTGACAAGTCAACGTGCTCGGTGTTACATTGAAAGACTGCATGACTTTTCTCTTGCATTTTTTCTAACAATTTGTCGAAAATATATTCTATGTCAGAGTCAAGGGTTAGGCTTTTAAGGTTAACGATAGCAAGAGCAAGGGCAGTCAAACCAGATTTCGTTTTCTTAGAAAGATCAGCACCAATTTCTATGAACCAGGAAACTGCAGGTAAGTTTACACCCTGCACTGCTCGATGGATTGCTAAATACCCTTCCTTGTCGTAACATTGGTTTAAAATTTCAACACCTTTGGGATGACTTGCAATGAATCTTTGAATTGGAAATGGAGTATTGTTGACTGACGGCTGGAAAAGATTCCCAACTAACTGCGGAGATGTTCTTAAATACGCCATGAGGTGCAACTCGGATTGTGCAAAAGGGACGTCACTGGTCACCTCTACATTAATTTGAAAAATTTTAAATACTTCCAGAGGTTCAAAATCTCGCCTCCTCCATTGCATGAACTCTGCTGGAACCCCATAAAAAATAAGAGACATTTCTTCTTCCGCGGCGGAAAAAACAAAAAATACTTCGTCGTAGGACAGCTCACTTAAGTACTCTTTAAATTGTTCATGTGCACAGTTAATATCAAGTCCAGACTTGAACAATGCGTACAGGCTTAAAGGTAGTTTGTGGCGTAGCAAACCACCCAATAAACTCTTAGCTGTCGTATTGCATTTCTTAATGGTTGCATTCTGTAACAGATAATTTGCCAATTCATCAAATCGGGTACTCTGACATACTTCAAACACTTGATCACTTGTCAACCGACATGGAAGAAAAGTTTTAGTACTTAAAATAGGCTTTTCTCGCAATGCAAATTCCAAGGCAGTGTCACCCCAATGATCTTTTATACTCCAGTCAGCTCCTGCGTTCACTAAATATTCTACGAGTGTTGGCAAACCGTGTACAGCTGCATAATGCAGAGCAGTTCTTCCATATTTATCTTTTTTATTTATGTCTGATACGAGAACTTTAAGTAGTAGCCTTACCGTTTCTAAACGTTTTTCCTCCGTAATGTCGGACCTCGCCCTGTTCGGACAAACGCACGCAGAAAACGCACATGATTGCGTTACATAAGTCTCTGTCTCAGGTTGAGACGATCCTAAAGTGGCAAAATGAAGCAGGGTTTTCCCATCTTCATACACGGCTGCGAATTTACTCAAATCTCCACTGTTCAAGAGATGCCTAAGAATCTCTACTGAATTACAAACTGCCACATAACGCAACATTGTCTCGATGTTGTGAACAGAGTAAATTTTGTTGCCATACGTGGCACTGATAAAATCGATTCGGTCGTAAATTACTGCAATCGTTGTCGGACTCCATCTTACAGTATTCGAAGAAGATGCATTAAGTTTTCCTTTCGATATGAACGGGATCATCATTTCCCAAAGTCCGTGTGCAAAAGAGAAATCTATCACATCAGATCCATTGCAATCAAGTCGATTACAGTAATGACTGTATATTGACTTCTCGACAATTATGAAAATTATTTCATCCGCACAATCATAAACCAAGCTTAAAATCGAACTTTCGCACTTCGCGTTGATGTCCGCTCCTTCGCTTATAAGTAGTTCCGCCATTTGAGTATTTTTTTGAGAAAATGCCTCCATCAGTGGGGTTTGGCCTGAACCATGCTTACAGTTAACCGATGCGTTACCGTACCAAACTATTAATTTTGCCACCTCTAGGTTATTTCTGGACACGGCTGCATGAAGTGCTGTTTCGCAAAAGCAGTGATGGAACTGATTGACGTTCATAGTACACCATGACTTGTTCCCTGGTTTGCAGGGCAAGCATTTGTCACGTACTCCATTGTTAAGAAAAACCCGCACAGTTTCTGTGTGATTTCTTGCAGCGGCATGATGGAGAGAAACGAGATCAGGTTTAGCTCCTTTGTTTATGTAAAGTTGAACTATTTCAAATTGACCCATTAATGCTGCCAAATACAGAGCTTTCCATCCGCACTCGTCAGCTTTCTCTATATTCGCACCACTTTTAATCAAAAGTTCTGCAATTTTTGTATATCCCCTATATGCTGCTATAGAACTCATACTGTTGATCGACCCGTGTATGAGAAAATAACTCGAGGGGTCGATAAAATCCAAGTAAAAGCAGGTTCTGGTTTTAACGGTGTAATTTACATTTGCCCCGTTATCGATGAATAACTTTACATTTTCATAGCTACCTGCGTCTACAGCATACATCGCAGGCGTCCATTCATTCAAGTCCAGGATATCAACAGATTTAAACTGTTTTATGAGCACATCAATAAGTCCAGTGGCATCCCTTCTTGATGCAAGATCATGTAATGTAGTTGTCATCCGGGAACCTTTGACTTCGGACACTTTCAAAGAACTAAGCTTTCTTCTATTCGATACGGACGCCTTTTCTCCATGCAAAATATGTATACACAGTTCTGATAATTCTTTAAAAGTAACTTCAGTCTGTCTTTCACTGTAGAAATGAAATAGGTAGTCGACTATATATTGGTGGCCTCTTGATTTTTCTATAAAAATTCCATTACTGCCGTCGGTTTGGTTAATTAACCATTCTGCGAAGAATTGATGGTGAAATTCAAGAGATCCTTGGTCAATATCAGACGTGAAAAATTGGGAAAGTTTGTTGACAATTCTGCGGGTATTGTGATTTTTGTAGTGGTAATTTAAAATTTTGCCCAACTCAAGTAACGTTGGAGGCGAGTTTGCGGCAAGAAGTACCTCTAAAAGTGGTTCAAAGTCAATCAACTCGGCTTCTTTAAACCGCTCTGCGAAAGAAGCTTTATAAATATCTTCTAAACTCTCTGGAATTGACCGTGCGTTCATTTGGTCTGGATATTCTTGCCAGTAGTTTATAATCGTTTTAAGTAATAGAAAATTGCCTTTGGAAAACTCCACGACCAAATCAATTGAGTGGTTCAGAGGTAATTTTTCCTTCGTTGATGGTACTTCGGTGTAAAAATTTTGCAGTGATTGTTGCGCGTAAGTGCGAAGGTCGTGTAAGTTACGTTGATCCTGTACATTTATTTTTAAGGTCGAGAATCCGTTAATTTTCGATATTTTACCGCTGGTCAGTGCTTGCTTTCGGGAAGTAACTATTACTTTTACCCAAGTTGGCAGTTTGGGCAATCTTCTTGAAAGAATGTTCACAATTACGGAGTTATGGCCTTCCTCTTTTTCCAAACACTCGTCTAATGCGTCAATAAGAATAAACGAGTTGTTTCTACCAGTAGCATTTAGTTTTTGAAGAGGCTCCACTATTGCCTTTTGAAAACATTCGATTGGGTTCTCCTCGCAATTGGACTGTAATTCATCCTTTATCAACTGGTCATTGTCGATAATTTCTTGGAATTCGTCAATTTTCTTGCTAATTAACTGAACTAAATTTCGCACGAATCGCTCTCCGTCGCGTGTGGATTTTTCATTGTACTTGCAGAAGTGATAACCGATAATATTTTCATGAATGATAGCACTGGACGATGACGTGTTAATTAAACGTTTCATGATCGCTGATTTACCCCAACCTGGGTCAGCTACAAGTAGAACACCGCGTACGTCGCTTGCGTTTAACATGTCTAGCTGTATCTCGCGAAAAACCCATTCTCGACCAACAAAACCTGGATTGGAAACGTTTTGACGGTAAGAATAGTCTACTTCTTCGATCCCCAAGTGGCTAGAAAGAACCAAATAAAATAGTAAAACTACAAGTATGAAAAGTGCTGTCCACAGTGCCGCCTTCATCCATTTGATACTTTCTTCAATTGTTTCGGTTTTCTTCAAAATTGTAGTCCCAAGAACTTCAATTTTATGATCTTTTTCATACCATTCATTTAGTAAGTTTATGTAAAGATCTTCGTTAAAAGGGTTCGTCTTCAACTTTGTAACATCTCCAATATTAGCACCCAGGCCAACTAAGGCATTCTCAATCTCACTCCAGTAAATATTGAAATTAGTATCACTTACTTCAGTGCTCTTCTTGTGAGCATAAAGTACATTTCTGTAATATTTAATTCTTGCCAGATTAGCTTCTGGGGTAATGTCGAATGACGGAGGATTCGCATCCCATGATCTAGTAGATCTAGGAGGGGTAAGACCACATATATTTCGAATTAAAATGAACAGTAAAGTGATATCATAATTACTGGACGTTGTCGGTGGCATTCCTGGTGGGGGAAATAACAAGTTCATTTGTTCAAGATTGATAACTCGTCTTGTATGCAGTCTATTCAGTGTCGCACGGTTGGCATTTAAGACGGCAGGTAAGTTGGCAGGAGAGTGAATCGAATCAAGATACTTTCGCATTGTTTCAGTTCCTTGGTCAATAATTAAGCAGCTAAGTTTTGCTCCATTGGATTTCAGACGATTGGATGACATTCTGTATAAAAATCCTATATAAAAAATGAACGGTTTGGTTAGGGAGCGGGAGAAGGGAGCTATAGACAAACTCAGATCTAAGTTAGGTTGGGGGCAAGTTTCCTGGAAATTTTTGAAATCTAGTTCTGGGGGGAGATTTGACATTTTGAAACCAAGTTCAAGTAATTTTGTTCGTTTTGCATTTCAGACAACAAAGAATGCGACATTTTCTTATTAAGTTCTCCCACTCTGATCGTTTTTTTAATTGCCTGCATGGAGACCTATACCTGACGGCTAAGGCGGACCAAAATCAGTTAAGGCCATGTTACACGGTGCAATTTTTCTTGCAACTTGCAATGCAATTCTACTCTTGAGAGATGTTAATAAGTGAAACCAGTGAAGAATTTTCTGTAATATTTAATTCTTGTCAGATTAGCTTCTGGGGTAATGTCGAATGACGGAGGATTCGCATCCCATGACCCAGTAGATCTAGGAGGGGTAAGACCACATATATTACGAATTAAAATGAACAGCAAAGTAATATCATAATCATTGGACGTTGACGGCATTGCTGGGAGCACTCCACTTGGGGGAAACAATGTTCAATATTCCCCTCTAATCAATTTCCGTTTAATAATCCCCTCTAATATTCACCTGCAATTAATAATCCCCTCTAATATTCACCTGCAATGTCTTTGCAGCACAAAAAAATGAGAAAAAAAACAACATAACGAAGGCAATATGGCATTAAGAATTATTTCTATTCTGACTCATTACGCGACCTCGCAGTGTGAAAAATAAGTACGTTATTTTGAGGCACCTCGGAGATATGTGTTTATTCACCTCGGCGCTGCGCGCCTCGGTGAATAAATCACATATCCCCTCGTTGCCACAAAATAACCTATACTTATTCCACTTAGTTTGCCATAGTAAGAATTTAAAACGGCAGTTAAGTTGGCAGGAGAGTGAATAGAATCAAAATACTTTCGCATTGTTTCAGTTCCTAGGTCAATGATTAAGCGGCTAAGTTTTGCTCCATTGGATTTCAGATGATTGGATGACATTGTGACCTAAATAGCAACAAGCACAAAGTTATTCTCGTGATATGACATTGAAGCGCCATTAGTTTATCACAGGCACAATCAATACCACAACTTGAACGACAACTTACTAATGATTTGGATACTTGCACTTGGTGGAATTAATATTTGCATGTTAGGGTTAGTAATCCAGGTGAGAATATATACATTTTAAGACCTAATCAGGAACGACTGCGAAAAATGCAGCACAAGGTCCTCTGGTAGGAATTGAACCTACGGCCCTGCGATTCCGGTGCAGCGCTCTAACCAACTGAGCTACAGAGACCAGCTGTGGAGTTGTAACCGTAAGTTCATGTATATATAGGTAATCGGGTGTGCGGGTTGTGATAAGGTGGACTTCAATGATTTGGATACTTGGTTAGGTCTTAAAATGTATATATACTCACTTGGATTAACAAACCCTAACATTCTAAACTTACTAATTACAGGGTTCGTAGTCTCCAAGACCAAAAAAATTCAAAGACTTTCAAAGATTTTTACTGCCTATTTACAAAGACTTTTCAAAAATCTTTGAGAGCAATCAGCTGTCGAAAAATTGCAAGTGTAAGCACCATTTTTACCCCAAAATTAGTCCCGTCAAATCACATCCTAAAATGCCCCTTTTCGTCGATATTTGCGAAAATCTTGCTTCAATCAATCTATTTTATTAGCTAGGAAATCGTATAATCAAATACTCAATAAAGAATTTAAAGACTTTTAAAGACTTTCCTCGCTTTTTCACACAATTCAAAGACTTTTCAAAGACCTTAAAGACCTGCATTCAAATTTAAAGACTTTCAAGGATTTCAAAGACCGCTAGGAACCCTGAATTACTAACTTATCCGCCATCTTAGAAGCCGATCATTATGGCCGCTGTGTGCGGACGGAGTCGAACCACGTAGCTATCGGAAAACGGCGATTTTTTCATGTTCACGTTAAAGAAATGACTAAAAACTCAAAATAAACTCAATACCTGGCCTTTAGTATAAAACAGGAACGTCGAAATGTTTTGTATGTGTACCGTATTTCCACTTTTAGCTCCCGCCTTATTTAATTAACCCCCAATCCAGAAGCACTGAATAAAGCCCCACCCTCTATTCAGCCCCCATCTTCTATTAAATCAATCTTAATGTAGATGGATTTAATAATGGATATAGCCCTATATGATCGGAATTGGTCAATGTACATCTAATTGTCATGGCAAGCAAGAGTTGTCTATTTAGCCACATTTATAACTGTATTTTCTTTTAGAGTTGCCCATAGGGTGTGTTTTGGGTGTGACACACCCCATGAAAACATCTTGTCGGCAAAATAACGGATTTATTAGCAAATTGTTTTCGTAGTCAGCAAAAATATTCGAGTGGCTTGGATTAAAAAGTAATAGTTATGGCAAAAAGTTTGATAAATTTACGAAAAATTTAAGAAATTACAGTACATTTATTGGGAAAGTTAGTGAAAAACGGAATGTCCGGAAATTTTTTTACGTGCGCTACCACCCC